AGCTAGGATGCAAAGAATAGCTCCTGAGCAACACATTGACAAACTACTAACATCAGAAACACCATAACAAAGACAATGTTAATCATATATGACCAGTGAATATTACTGCAAAACATTATGAATGCCAGTAGCAAATAAATCAATTGTTGGCAAATAAATCAATACATTACTGCAAAACTGGAGCAGTACTTAGCTAAGAATGTAGAGCAAATAAATCAATTGTTGGCAAGCTACAGCGTCATAGGAGGAATGTTTAAGGGTCACTTGGCGCAGCATGTACGCTGAGGTCAACTTCAATATAATGGAAGTGGAAGGGTGGAAAATAGTCTCACCATTTATCCTTTTCCTTTTGCTGTGCCCTCTCATCCCCACTTCTACTCTGAGAGAGTAGCTGTGCTAGCCAACGCCGCCCAATCACCTGCACAAAGGGGAAAAGGTGGAGAGAGAGAGGATCTAGGGGAGGAGTTAGGAGACCGAGGAGGAGAGGAAGAGGGTGACGTACCGCCAGATTCAGCGGGCGAGGTAAGGGGCCACCGCCGCCGGCGATGACGAGGCCATGCACAGGCTTGGTCGGCCGGCCTAAGCCGGTTGTGGCTCGCGATGCATCCGACGTCATTGAGATGAGGCAGCTAGGGTTTCGTCGACCAAAGTAGCACAGGCGGATCGGTGGAAGGAGGCAGCACCGGGTGGCACCCGCGCCGGCAGCCACCGGCGGCCCTAGGCGCGTCGCCGAGGAGGGGGCGCTATCGGCCGTGGCCAGGGCAGCCACCCTCCGCACCGGCGCAACACCCGGCGGGGGGCGCCGTCGGCACGCGCGGCCACGAGGCGTGAGGAGGGCGTGGAGAAGGAGGAGGAGGGCAGCCGCCGCCGCGTCGAGGGCCGGCGCTGCCGAGGTGCGGTGGTGCCGCCGTGGCCGCGTCTAGGAGAGCAGGGGAGGGAGAGAGAGCGCTACGGGAAAGGAAGAGACGGAAAGAGGGAGAGAGAGGAGGGTAGGAGTATTTTTACCCGGCGCGGGTACTCCTTGGCCGACACTTGCACAGTTGCCCTGTATAGGCTACGCCGACACTTTCTAAGTCTTCAAATTTTTGCCGACACTTTTTTTGCCAGCAGAGAAACGCCGACAGATAATTTGTAGTCTTACAGTCTTATTGCCGACAGATGATTAGACATTAAAACGATATACAATTGCCAACACATAATATGTCGTCCAAACCTGCCTTTTGCCAACACATAAGTGTAGGCAAATGTGTGTCATGGTGTAGTGCCTGCCGCTAGCCGCTGGGCGCACGTGCCGAGGTGCCTCAGGTCGTCCCTGGCCAAACCAAGGGCACCCATGAGCGCAACCAGTATTGGTGGTGCTCACACGCCGCCGCTCGCCACGTCTCCCACCCCAACGCCTGGAATTGACTGGTCCCGGCCTCCCCTCCGTTGGCGATGTCATGTTTCAAGTATTTCGGACGTACGTTTTTAAGTGTTTTATCTAGATGTTGTGTATGTTGCAATGACTATATACGCATGTTTCATGTTGCAAGCATATGTTTCAAGTGTTTCAGATGTATGTTTCAAGTGTTTCATCTTGATGTTGCAGAAGTATATCTGGATGTTGCATAACATGCATGCTTCAAGCGTATGTTTCAAGTGTGTTTCATACATATGTTGCAAGTGTTTCATCTTGATGTTGCAAAAATAGATCTAGATGTTGCATATGTTTGCAATGGCTTTCAAGTGTTTTCAGGTGTTTTGCAAGTGTTTCCTACGTATGTTTTAAGTGTTTAAGCTGTTTCGGACGTATGTTACAAGTGTTTGATCTAGATGTTGCAAAAGAAAATCTGGTGTTACACATGTTTCAATAGGACCTACCTGCTGCAACCTCCAGTTGCAGCTGCTGAGGCGCCGCCTAGCGTGCGCAGATAGTCCCCACGTGCATGCGCGTGGGAAGCGGAGGGGGCGCGAGCGGTCCCAGCGTGCGGGCGTGCAGCGCGGGCAGGGCAAGTTGTTTGGGCAGCACGAGTGGTCCCGCTTGGGCGTGCGAAATGCAGCTGACATGGGAAGCGGAGCGTGGGAATCCGAGTGGGCGGGGTGCGCGACATGGTGCAGGCGTCGGCGTCCGTCCGGACACTAACCTCTCCGTTGTTTTTAACATTTGGGGAAAAAAATTGGGAAATGACCGTGGAGAGGGAAAAAAGAGATTGGAAACCTATGGACACTTACAAAGAAATTGAGAAGTAACGGTCGGGTGGGAAAAAGAAATCGGAAACTCTATCGACGCCGACGGGAACGCTGGAATGGAACACATAAAGAAAGGAACTCTGGGCTCTTTAATATTAGGTAGAGAGTTCAGAGGAGATAAAGATAGAGTAAAAAATTGGTATTCTAGTTGACATGCAACATACATGTGTATGTTGGCTTGTTTTTAATGGAAGTACCAGAAAACCTATTATATAGGGTAGCACAAATGGCGTCAATCCTGAGGACTGATAGTGATGTTCAAGGCCGAAGCATCCTGAGGACTTATGGAGACGCATTTTGTTCAAGCAAACAAACCCAAATTTTCGTGTTGCCATCACAGCTTTATTTCCTACCACCCGTTTCGCCTTTCATCTCTCATATCCACACCTGTGGTGCCAATCCATGACAAGATGGTGTGGAGCGAGTAAGTAGCTAGGCCTCCCCTCGTCCTCGATGCTTTGATTTCTTCGAGGTAGACATGAAGGCACAGGCGATGAGTTCATCCTTGGGTCCTTTGATTTCTTTGAGGTAGACATGAAGGCACAGGCGATGAGTTCATCCTTGGGAGCCATGGGATCCCTTCTTGGAAAGCTCTAACACAAGATCTAGAAGAAATAAATAGCTTCCTGGTGGATCTGTCAAGTGTGGAAGGTCCTAGCGTCATGGTCAAGCGCTGGATGAATGAGGTATGCGAGCTGTCCAATGACAAATGGCCTTATTTTTAGGGGCGGCTTTAGATCCAGCCACCTCTAAAAATTGATTTGTAAAGGCTGCTGGATATAGAGCCGTCTCTAAAAATGACGTCGAAAAAATTACATAATAAAATTTGAAATTTTCAAATAACCTCGGATGGAGAAACGAACAGAACAACAGTTGTAGATCTCAAAAAGTTATACAGCATTGTAGTCGACAACATTCTCATATTAAATCATCTATCCAAGAAAAATACGTTTGAATTTTTGACATTTGAAATTCGAATTTTTTGAACGACCACGGATGGAGACACAACCAACACAAAAGTTTTAGATCTCAAAAAGTCATACAACTTTGTAGTTGATAATTTTTTGAATTGAAATCATCTATCCAACGAAAATTACATTTGAAATTTTCACATTTGAAATTTGAATTTTTCAAACAACCTTTGATGGAGAAATGACAAAAACAAAAGTTTTAGATCTCAAAAAGTTATACAACTTTATAGTTAACAACTTTTTCATTTGAAATCATCTATCCAAGAAAAATTACTTTCAAATTTCTCAAATTTGAAATTCAAATTTTCAAAATGACCTCGAGAAACGACTAAAACAAAAATTTTAGATATTGAATTTTTATATGACTTTGTAGTTGACAACATTTTTATTTGAAATAGTTTAGGGTCTCAAATACTCATTTCAAAATCAGCTGAGTATAGTCCGAAGTGAAAGAATATTTCATATGGACACAAGTGAGTATGGGGTGAATTAGTTAGAGGAGTAACGCGCGAGGTGAGAGGTTGTGGGTTTGATCCCCGGTGGCCATGAAGTGCGTGTTTTTCACGCGAAAAATTGTGTGACTTGCAACTTACACGCTGTGGCTGCCCTGAGATCTCCTCAGATAGTTTTTTTTACTATTTTTTGGATGCGAATCCAGAATTTTTGAGCAAGAATCTGTAGAGGCAGCTCGTTTTTTGGTCACCCCTACAAATATCTAGCCGTCGCTACAAAATGATTTCTAGCCAGAGGGGCAGCTAGAAATCGTTAATTTCTAGATGGAGATGGTTAGGGGCGGCTGGTCCATCCGTCCCTACGAACCGTGTGGAGCCGCCCCTACAAACTCTCCCTGACTTCGTGCAAGTTCGGCAGCTGGTAGCATCTAATGATGGCCCCGTGACAGTGCACCGGTACCATCCTAGTAAATAGAAGAAAATGCCAGCTAACGCCGTCTTTGTTTTGTTGATGTGAACCCCCAATTATGGACAACGATCCATCCTTGTCATGCTCATGGCGCAAGTTGCCGTCCTGTTGGTACTGTAACTAGCTTCTGCTATAAGCTGCAGCACTGTAGGCGGATTGTAGTATAAGCAAACATGGCCAATATTTGTTGATGTGGCCTGCGTAGAAGCACCGTGGAAGGGGAAAAAATGGCACCCATCCACAGAAATAAAAAGTCAGTCTGCAGACCACAAACCTGTCAAGAAGGGATAGCTCATAGCTGTAGCTGCCCTTTAGCTCGACCAGCCCGTGTGTCCAGTGCAAGCCGGTGACTTCTTCCTCGCCGGCGATAGATACCCCTCCGACTGCTGGGCATTGATCCAAGCATGTCGATTTCTGTAACCAGGTGTCCGGCCCCTTCTTTCTCTGGTTTGTTGGTCAGCTGGGCCTTTGTTTTCTTCTGATCTTTGTATCATTGTAAGTATGCGGCAAGGTTTTGATTTTTTTAAACTCTGAATGGCAGGATATAATTGATCGCCATCATGCAGTTGGATTTTCACTCACAGTTCCGATAACTGCTGAACAGAAGACCATAAGATACGTTCCCTGGTTCCCTTAATCGAGAAAAAAAGACATTATTTTAGTTTCAGGTACTCCACATGCAAATTTGTTTTACACACAAGTACAATATTATTTTCTGAAATTTTGATTTTAGAAGAATTTTGAAGTTTCTATCATGGTTATTAGTACTTTGGTCGGAATTGGTGTTCATCTTCAGCTCCTTGCATGTAATAGGACAGAGAAAGCTGAAGCCGCTGGAATTCCGCACTTGTGAAATTTTCACTCCCCTTGCTTATCACCATGAAGGGTGCTGCAACTGGACGGTTTCTGCTGGTGCTCATGGCTTGCACCTTGCCTGCTGTCACCTACAGCAACACTCCTCCTGGCCCTGGGAACCAAACAGATCGACTATCACTGCTTGAATTCAAGAAGGCGATCAATTTGGATCCACAGCAAGCACTGGCATCTTGGAATGGCAGCAATCACTTCTGCAGTTGGGAAGGTGTCAGTTGCAGGACGACGAGCAATCGTGTCACTAATCTTGACCTTGGAAACCGAGGTTTAGTTGGCCAAATATCTCCTTCGCTAGGAAACCTGACATTCCTGAAACACCTGTCCCTAGCAACAAACAGATTCAGTGGACAAATCCCAGCATCCCTTGGCCAGTTGCATCGCCTCCAAACCCTCTACTTGAGTAACAACACGTTACATGGAGTTATACCTACTTTTCAAAACTGCTCCAACCTGGAGAAATTATGGCTCGATGGGAACAATCTCCTTGGAGGGTTTCCGGGTTTGCCTCTTGGACTTGAACAGCTCGAGCTTGGATCTAACAATCTTTCTGGAGCCATCCCTCTTTCTCTTGCCAATATCACAACACTTAAGTCGTTAGGCTTCAATTTCAATAATATTCAGGGAAACATACCAGATGAGTTTGCCAAGTTGCCGGAGCTACAGAGTCTACGCGCTTCTGCCAACCATTTGGTAGGTAGTTTTCCACTGGCCATCCTGAATCTTTCAACCCTCGTTTCCTTCGGTATTACAGGGAATCATTTAAGCGGCGAGGTGCCACCTGGCCTCGGTAGCTCTCTTCCCAACCTCCAAATGCTTGCAATAAGCATCAACTTTTTCCATGGCCACATCCCTTCCTCGTTGGCCAATGCATCGAATCTTCGCCTTATTGCTATGTCAAACAACAGTTTCACTGGGGTGGTCCCTAGTTCCATTGGTAAACTTGGCAATCTCTACCTTCTGAATCTTGAGTTAAATAAACTTAAAGCTCGTAACAGTCAAGACTGGGAGTTTGTTTACAGCTTAGGCAACTGTACTAATCTACAAACATTGTCATTATATTCCAATCAGCTAGAAGGCCACGTACCAACTTCATTAGGTAACCTTTCTGTTAAACTGCGGACATTAATACTGGGGTATAATCAGTTATCTGGTGATTTTCCTTCTGGAATCGCAAACCTTCGCAACCTGATGTGGTTAGGACTACATGGGAATCAATTTACAGGAAAGGTTCCAGAATGGCTTGGAACTCTAAACAGTTTACAAAAGCTGCTTTTAGATAACAACAATTTCACAGGGTTTATTCCATCATCCCTTTCAAACTTGACTCAGTTGTCAGATCTCGGACTTCAAGCCAACAAATTCGAAGGGCATGTACCTACAAGCATAGGAGTTCTTCAAAATCTTCAAGGATGTAACCTTTCAAATAACCTTCTTCATGGTGGTATTCCCAAAGAAATGTTTGGAATTCCAGCAATCCTTAGTATTGATTTATCTGCAAACAACCTGCATGGGCAACTTCCTGATGAAATAGGCAATGCCAAGGCACTCGTACATTTGAATCTTTCGTCAAATATGCTGTTTGGAGAGCTTCCGACCACTATAGGTAATTGTGAAAACTTGGAAGACATTGGGTTGCGACGGAATAGTTTCGGAGGAAGCATACCCGTTTCACTAGGGAACATAAGGGGTCTAGAAGTTCTGGACTTGTCTCACAATAATTTGACTGGGTCAATACCTATGTCCCTCACAAACCTCCAATACCTTGAGCAACTAGATTTGTCATTCAACAACATCAGTGGTGAGGTCCCATTGAAAGGGATATTCAGTAATGTGACTGCTGTGAGGATTGATGGAAATCCAGGGCTTTGTGGTGGGCCATTGGAGCTACACCTACTCGCATGCCAAGTCATGCCTGCTAATTCAAGTAAAAAGAGGCATTCCATTGTACAGAAAGTGGTGATCCCTTTATCCAGCATTTTGGCACTTGTTATAGTCATAACTGTAATGGTGGTCTGGAGAGGAAATCGAAAGACAAATATGTTGTCTTTGCCGTCATTCGGTAGCAAGTTTCCCAAAGTTTCTTACCACGATCTCGCCCAAGCAACATGTGGGTTCTCAACATCCAATTTGATTGGCAAAGGAAGATATTCTTCCGTGTATAAAGGAGAACTCTTCCAAGACAGAACCATGGTTGCTGTCAAAGTTTTTCTCCTAGAGACATGGGGGGCACAAAAGAGCTTCATTGCAGAATGTAACGCTCTACAAAATGTGCGGCATCGAAATCTAGTTCCTATACTCACTGTGTGCTCTAGTATTGATTCCAATGGAAATGATTTCAAAGCCTTAGTCTATGAGTTCATGACACAAGGTGACTTGCATGAGCTACTGTACTCGACTCAATGTGATGGGAACACATCAACTCGAAGCCACATCACAATGGCTCAAAGGTTAAGTATTGCAGTGGATGTCGCAGATGCATTGGAGTACCTCCACCATGGCAACCAAGGAACTATCGTCCATTGTGATCTGAAGCCTAGCAACATTCTTTTGGATGACAATATGACAGCACATGTTGGAGACTTTGGTCTTGCAAGGTTCAAGTTTGAATCTGCAGCATCATCGTCCACTTATTCAATCTCGACTTCAGTCGCTATTATGGGAACAATAGGGTATATTCCTCCAGGTAATCTAAGTTTCATGCAGCGTAATGTTTTCATGCACGTTTATCATTGGAGTAAACAATTCTTTTGTGCAATCTGCAGAGTGTGCTGCAGGTGGAGCAGTTTCGAGCGCTGGGGATGTCTACAGCTTCGGGATTGTTCTACTTGAAATATTTTTGCGAAGGAGGCCAACTGATGATATGTTCAATGGTGAGATGAACATTACAAAATTTGTTGAGATCAACTTTCCTGACAGGATACCACAGATAATAGATCCTGAACTACTAGAAGAGAAACAACATTTATCTCCAGAAACTTCATTGGCCATGAAGGAGAAAAGCTTGGAGTGTTTGCTTTCAGTCCTAAACATTGGGCTTCTCTGCACTAAGCCGTCCCCGAATGAGCGCATTTGCATGCAGGAAGTCACTGCAAGGTTGCACGGAATCAAGAAAGCATATATATCATAGTCAAAACTGAGGTAACACTAGCAACATCCGTTATACTTTGATATCGTATACTTCATAATTTGTTCTAGTTTGTTCAAAAAAAAATTGTTCTAGTTGTTTCGTCTTGCAGGATGAATTTCTTTTACCCTAGTGTCTAAGGCTGACACAACAAAAGCCTATCTCTCTGTACCATAACGTCAATTTAAAAGAAAAGTGTATTTTTCTTCAGGTTTCGATTCGACTCAAGCACTCCCCATCTTCACTGCCGACACACAGTAGCATGTAATCTTTAGAATGGATACATAATTCTAGCACAAGAGAGAGTATTCAACTTCACCGAGCATGCATGGTCTTGAATTTTCTCATGTTTGATTTCTGAAAAGAAGGGATTTCTTTTTCAGAGACCGGTTTAAGGTAGTGTTAGTGTCAACTAAAGTAGTGGTGTTGAAGCGTGGACAATTTGTTGGTAAAATCTATGAGTGCAGAGGCTTGTTTAGCTTTTCTTCAGCAAATTTTTGTAATAAGTGAGTATATTTGTGGCATGGTTAATGACAATGCAAGTGTTTGGCATTTTTGTTTGTGTCATGCTAACTTTTGTTTGATGTCATGATTGTCCATCATGAGTTTAATTCTAGATTTCACTATTGCCAAAGGTTCTAAGTGCCATAGTTGGGTGCAATCAAAGCAACCTGGAAAGCCTCACAAGGTAGAGGTGAGAGAAATTTGGCACCTCTAGAGCTAATACATTTTTGATATATGCGAGATGAATAGGGGAAAAAGGTGGAAAGACATATTTCATGATTTTAATTGATGACGCAACTAGATTTGCAATGTTTACTTGGTCAAATCTAAGGATGAAACACTATACTACTTTAAATTCTATAAGTCTGAAGTTGAGACTAACTAGAGGGGAAGATTAAGCGTCTAAAGATGGATCATGGTGGTGAGTATTTTCCCAGATTGTTTGATGGATTTTAAGGAACACAATATTATTCATGAAAGGAAGCCTCCCTATTAAATGCGAATCAAACAAGATTGCTTAGAGGAAAAGTCGTTGTTGAATGACTTGGTGAACACCATATTAGACACCTTTGCTAGTTTCTAAGGCATGGTGGGGAGGCTTTATTGACTATGGGTCATGTCCAGAATAGAATTCCAAATAGAAATAAAGATGCAACCCCATATGAGGATTGGGTTGGAAGGAAACCGTCACTTTCATATTGCGTATATGGGGATGTTTGGCGAAAGGCAACAAACCAATTTCTAAGAAGCGCAAGCTTGGACCCAAGGCTATGGACGGCGTTTCTAGGATATGCTCAATAGAGCATTGCCTATAGGTTCTTAGTGGTAAATTCTGAAGTTCCTGATATGCATGTTGATACAATTATGGAATCTCATGATGCTATATTTTTAGATTATATTTCCTACGTAAGACGATATGGATAGAAATTCTAGATTTTCTTCTAAGATAGCTTGGCATTTTACTACATCTATCAAGTCTCTTGTTGAGTCATTTGAGCACCCACATGAGGAAGTCCTTGAGATGAATGACAATGGAGCTCCTATGAGGAGCAAGAGATAAGGACTGCAAAGTTTTTTGGTGATGATTTCATTGTGTACCTTGTGGGCAATACTCCCTTGTCTATTGCAAAGGCATATGCATGATCCAAATGCTGATGATTGGAAAGAAGTTATCGTAATGAGATGGACTCGATTGCCCTTTCTAATGTGACACAGGAATTAAGCTGAGTTACCCTATAGTTGTAAACCTATGGGTACATGTAAGTGGGTGTTCAAAAGGAAGCTTAGGCCTAATGGTACTATTGACAAGTATAAGGCTCGGCTTATGGCTAAGAGTTATACCCAGAAGCAAGGCAACGATTTCTTTAATACTTATTCACATGTTGCTAGAATGACCACTATTCAAGTTCTACTTCTCTGGCTGCCTCATATGGTCTTCTCGTTCATCAAATGGATGTGAATACAACCTACCTGAGTTGGATGAGGAAATACATATGTATCAACTTGATGGGCTTGTAGTACAAGAAGAAGAGCGCAAGGTGTGTAGGTTACTAAAATCTTTGTATGGCTTAAAACAAGAAGCCAAGCAATGGCATAAGAAGTATGACAGAACTTTAACTTTTGCAGGCTTTGCCATTAATAAGGCTAATAATGTGTGTATTATCGCCATGGTGGAGGCATACTGTTACACTATGTTTGTAGGTTGATGATATTCTGATTTTTGGCACAAACATTGATGCAATCAATAAGGTAAAGTCTTTTCCATCAAAGAGTTTTGACCTAAAAGATCTAGGAGAACCTGATGTGATTCTAAACATCAAGCTTATTGAGGATGATAGTAAGATTACTTTGTTGTAATCTCAATATGTTGAGAAGATCTTAAGCCAGTTCGGGTATATGGATAGCAAACCTTCTCCAACACATTATGATCCCAATGTAACATTGAAAAGAACAAGATGATAGTGTACCGAAATGGGTATGCTACACTAGCAGATCTACCATGTTCAACCAAGATAACGACATGCGAGTAGAGCATCATCGATCGTTACCACTAGACGCACAGCATAGCTGGAGTTGTAGCAGCCCAACGTCATGCACGTCATTGTAGTGGAAGTAGTCATACATCTTAACGTAATAGTAGCAATAACACGTCCGCTCACCTTGTTTTCATCGCCGATCAATGCTGCAGCAACAACAACAATGTCTCCATAGTATCCACACGTGCGGAGATGGAACACTGGGCACCAGTGTGCTAGCACTTGGCGTGCTGCTGAGGGGATGAGAAAGGCACTTAAGCCCATGAGAAAGGCACTTCCACTACATTGCTGCTGCTGAGGTACTAATTAATGTTGCATGTTCTACCTCTACTCATGGGCTTTAAAGTCGTCCCTTGTTAAAAGCCCATTAGTAGTATACTAATGCCCCTAATGGATTATGTTTTAGCCCATTATGGGTCCAATCCATATAACAGGTATGATTGCCTCTTCGGGACATCACCAATAGATAGCTTGAGATCAATGGAGGCACTCTGAGATTACTGATTCACTCATGTACTTATCTAACACAATAAGACCAGGTATCTCTTTTGCTATGAGTAGAATGAATAGGTTCATGTCCAACCCGAGTGATGATCATTGGCATGCACTTCAAAGGGTCTTGCATTATCTTAAAGGTACAATGAGATATGGAATTCACTATTCTGGGCACCCAACTATATGCTTGAGGGATACAATGCCTAACTAGATATTTGACGTTGATGAACTCTACGCCACTAGATGGTATGTATTTACTCTTAGAGGTGGTGCGGAGCCATGGAGGCCTAGCAAGCAGGTCATTTTGATGAGGTCAACCATGGAAGCCGAACTTACTGCTTTTGACATAGCTTCTGCAGCGGCAGAATGGCTATGTGAGCTCTTGTTGGACTTGCCGGTGGTTGAAAAACCAATAATGACTATCTTTAATTGTGAATTGTGATAACCAAATGGTAATTACTACGGTGAACATTGCCAAGGATAATGCGAAGTCAACAAGACATGTTAAAGACATTTGAAGTCTGTCAGGAAATCTAGAAACTCTGAAGTAATAGTTGTGGCTTATGTTCAAATAGACAAAAATCTGGCAAATCCCTTTATAGATGGGTATGAGACCATGTGAGTTTATAGTAATAGTAACCCAATATTTTTCATCAGAGATCTCATGACTAAGGACCTTGGGAAAACAAGCTATTGGTTAATCTATAACCCTCTCTAAGTGAAGGTGCAATCCTCTCATATATAGCTATAAGGTAGGTTGGCGAATGTCTTAATATGTTCTATTGGCTTTGACAAGTGAAGATGTTGTCTTGTAGAGCATTCTAGAAATAATATACCTATATAAGCCCAACTATAAAACATCACAGTCTATGAGACTTGGGTGATCTCTATTAAGCTCATGAAGAGACTAGGGAGTAAGATGTATATGCTCCACCCATGGGGAAGGCTACTGGAGACCAGGTACTAGTTTGAATTTCAGTGAAACTTGTCTAAGCAGAACATGCAATTCAAGACATAGTCCATTATTAAAGTTATGGATGGGTGTAGCTTGAAGCTCCAGGTGGAAGTTCAACTTAACCGTCTCTGCTGAAACATTAATATATCAAATAGTAGTGGGAACATGCAAATCTCTAATTGGGCACTAGAGATATAGTGGTGGATTGTTGGAATATATATGGGCTTGGCCCAAATAGAATTATGAAATTTCTATGAAGAAATCTCAAAGGCCCATTCATTTGTGCAAAGGGGGAAGTGGGAACTCTTTAGTCCCACCTTACTTGTGGAATTGGAGGTAGTCATGCTTAAATATGGAAGTCCTCTCCACTCCCTCAAGTCTACTATGAGGAGAAAGGAAGCCCACACGTGCTCGCTCACTCGCCTCCCCTTGCCGGGCCTGACAAAGGGCGTGTGACACCTACGTGAATGGTCCGCCGAAATCCTACCCATGTCATTGCAGGGGTGCAACCTCTTTTTGCAGATTTAGATTTTGGCTACTTGTCCTTTAAGTTTTTATAGATAGGAGGCCAAAATGGTTTAGATCACGATCATGACATGAGATTGTGTTAGACAACCTATCAGCCAACGCCAAGACGCATCTAATCGAGGTAGGGTTTTTGCCTCTTCTTGCTGATGTGCCGCCGTCGTAGCTCCATCTCGAGCATCTACGTGCACCAGTGATCGGGAGAGTAGGTCTCCGGAACCTTTGTTCTTGTGATCTTGCAATAGGAGAGGACAAATAAAGTTTATGGGAAGTGTTGTTCGTGCGCCTGCTCCCGACCTCCATGATGGGTCATCTTCCATTCAAGTTAGACGGCGATGCGTCCTGCCGCGTTCGTCATTGTCAGCTACTCCAAGCACATCCTCCACCACTCATCGACAACTTTATACCCCTACCAGCAACGGCATCTCCCTCTACAAATGAAAGGTACACATACCACAGTCCAATATGTTATTGTCGTTTGCCTGCTG